TTTCCGAAGAACTGGTAAATCATTAATGCTGTGTACAGATGTGCTCTCTCGAGGTATTGATGTTGATAATATCGATTGGGTTGTGCAGTTTGATGTACCAAAGCAAACAAGGTTTTCTTTCATCTTTTGCTTTGACCAGGTTTATTTCTCATTCAATAAAAAGTTAAAATTAATGATCCCATTAAACTCTTATAGTTGGTTTTTGGAAATGCTTTTATGATAGTTTTTATGCTACAACGTTGTGTGAAATTAAACAGTTGGGTGCTAGCACTCATATATATTATAACAAGGTTGAAATGATTGCCCAGAATTTTTAATCCAAAAAAATACAATATTAATTTTGAAAAACTACGTTATTGATTAAGAAATTTACTGATACTTAACACAAAAGAAATGCCTAGCATAGAAATGAATAAATTTAACATATGCAAAACATACAAGAAAGCACAGAATAATGCCATCGAGCAAAAATGTACCGTTTCCTTCAGGTTTCATTCAAGATGAGATATCTCACATGATAGTACGGATAAGGCCTTAAATATTCGTTTAGATTGCATTTACAAAATCAGCTTTACTTGCTATTTAATTAATAATCAAAATATATATTTATAAATTGAGAATTGCTGATGAATTTTCCAGCTGGTTTGTCCATCGAGCTGGTCGGAGTGCAAGATGTGGCAAAGTGGGAAATAATGTATTATTCCTTACACCAGAAGAAACGGCTTATGTCGAATTTATCGAAAAATACGAAAAAGTTTCGTTGATTGAAATGGAAGCAAATCTGAAGGAAGGCAATGGTGGAGCGGAACAAATAAGGCAACATATTATTGAAATGGCTTCAAAAGAGCGGTAATTTGTCCTTTTTTGTCTTTTGGATTATTTTAATTGTTTCTCCAGATTTTATAAATTACGTTCGAAAGTATTTTGTTCATTTGAGAAATTTTTTATTGTATATGCACTTTAATATGCACTATTAGCGCTGTTCTCACTATCACAAACATGTGATGATTCAACAAAGACAGAGTGCCATTTATGTAACGTGATGTGACGTGGAAACTGACATATAAGATGTAATATATCGCATGGAAGCCAATTTTTACGACTTGTGAAGCCTCATTTAATTATTAAGCAAACTTGTTCAGAGAAATCTTGGAGTGTGGTACTCGAGCTTTCTTGTCCTTCGTTGAGTCGTATGTACGCCATGATTGCAACGTAGTGTGTTCCTTTAAAGGTAACTTTTTTTCTTCTCATTTCATTTTTTTTACGAGATACTATTAGCCAATACAATAACAGAATTTATAAAATTAAATTTTATATTTCAAAGAAAATGTAGAAATAGTTTTCGAGACTATAAATTGCAGATCTGGATGTTACTGGCTACGGCCACGCTTACGGATTGCTGCGTCTTCCTCGCATGAAAGAATTTCACCGTAGCGATTTGAGTAAATTTAAACGCTCTGAACTAAATACTTCTGAAATACCTTATAAAAATGCTGAAAAAGAGAAGCGAAGGCAAGAAAAATTACTGCTTCTGAAAACCAAAGATAAATCAGTGGAAAAGGTATACTATCTAAAGTTTCAATAGAATTCTTTTTTTTCAAATCTTATCGAAGATTGCATTATGTCATTATGTATATTCGCCATTTATGTTTTTTGGATAGCTTCGAGCTATCCAATCAATACATCTATGGTCGAAGATTCACTAAAGTTTTTATCGCTGTAATTCAGAACTAAATAAATTCGGTTACATAGATGTCTGTAGAAGTTAAAGATCTAAGGATTAATGTTATGGTTACATCAGCCATTTCTTTTGGGTATTGAAATTAGACTCATAAATTCCTTACAGGCAGGCAGAACTCAGAAAAAATGGTTAGATACCACACAAGCATCCAAAAATTCTGCAAAGAAGCGACGGCACAGCGAAACTAAGGAGAATATAGATGATATCGCGTCAGACTTCGTATTACTGAAGAAATTAAAAAAAGGAAGATTGAAAAAAAAGGAATACGATGAACTAATGGCTGATAGTTCGTGTTAAATGTTCTTATGTTACGTTTCAGATTTTATTATGAAAATTTTGGTGGATAAAATAAAATTGTTAAGCAATTTGCATAGATGTTTGAATGATTTCGATGCTTAATTCTGGCATTCACTGAAGAGAAGATAAGTAAAGCTGGGTGACTCATGAACATAGGCATAAGATGCTTGTTTATTATGAATGTTTGAGATTCCGCCGGTGGACAACAAGCAGCGCACCTACCAAGGGTAGGCTTAAGTTCTGACTAATTTCAATCAATTGATTAAATGATTAAATATAACATATATATGACTACTTAATTATAATGACGACATAAATCTCCAATTTATTCACTGAAGTGCATGGGAAAATAATAGTGCACAGAATTTAGGAGCCGGTCCTACAATCCCTTGTCGGATTGACGACCAGTCTGTTTAATAGATACGCTTCCCTATCACATTTATAAAAAATTCTATTTTTTATACAAGAAAGCTTTTACGTAACACAAGAAAGGTTTTACAATGAAATGTGGGGAAAATGGCACACTGATGCTTATGAGGTGAGAAAAAATAAAGATGGAGAAGGGAATTACTTCCAAAAGTTACGAAAATTAAGTTTGAAATGAAAACCATCAACAATGAGCATAAATTGAATAGGTGGTAAATGACGGGGTAAAAAAGAAAAAAATAGTTTATAAAGGAAGGACATGGATCAATCTCCATGGTAAATCCCTATTTGTTTTTCAAAACTTAGAAGCTGTCAGAACTTCCTTGCCGTCCAGCGATAATTTTCGCAAACGTACAAGTTTTCACAGACTAATTAACACCTCATTCAATCAATAGGAAATCAATAAGAAATGAAATAATTTCGTTAAAGATAGCAGAGGCGAGACACTGCCAGTGATTTATGGTAACGTTCTTCCACAGCATTCGATGACGTTAATTTAAAGTAGCAAACACTGGAAGGAGCTTTTAGGCCGGAATGGATTCATCTTATCGTTCGAAAAGCCCGTCAATAATATATCATCTCTCTGACAGTCTTGCGTATACCTGAAACTTTAACAATTAAAAAATGTTTTGTTGTTAGAATATTCGCAATACTGTTTTCATATTAATCATGATCATAGAATTCCTTTAAACAAAAATATTTCTTCGCCCCGAAGAAGATATAATATGTTTAATTATCTAATTTTGGATCAAAATGAACTCATTTACTAAAATTAACATGGCAGCATGCTTGAGAGCCATACCTACATTCAGTTAAAGCGTATTTGAACAAAGAGATATCAAAAATTTTTGAAAAATTTGGACTTTAAATCATTAGTATTCCATATTTACAAAAGTTTAACAATTGGCAGATTAACAAGTAACATCCGTAAGAAGATGAAAGATTGATTTCTTATCTTTTCAACTTATTTTACACGTAAATTTCCAATCAATTACCAAGCACCAGCCATAACTGAATACTCCCTTATATCAAAAAGATCCAACTATAATGATTTTTGCATAACTCATAAAAAACATTAGTATCAAAAAAAAAACACTGATTGAAACATTGTGCAAAATGTGAAAAAATGTCACCTCACCGTATTAAATCATTGGCTGCTTGAGAAACCGACGTACGACGTAAGTTACGCTCACGACGCAGCTGTTCCACAACACTTCGTGCTTGTTGCACGGAATGAGCATCTCTTCCACTCATCTTATTCGTATTTTACAATTTATGTATCCTGAAAAAGGATTCAAACTGAAATGGTATGCTTTAATAAGAATATTAATTATCCGTCACTTTAACATAAAAAACCTAAAAGTCGTACGTAATAATCACAAACTTCAACAATTAGAAGAACATATCTCGCAGTACGTAACACGTGTAAAGTACAAATCCCCTCCTCGTCACGACGCAAAAATCCATCTTCTACGATAGCGGCTGATCATAATTTAACGCGTTATTGTTATATCCTAACACGTTGCATGGTTTTTTTCTTGCTAGAGGTCGCTTGGTTTGCGTAAGGTTATTTCTTTGTGCGGTAACTTAGGGAATATTTTCTATTATGGAAAACGCAAAGATCATATATTTCAGAGAAATGACAAATGTGGAAATTGATTTCCCGCGTGAAGACTTGTCTATAGATAGAAAACACCGGGGAATATACTCAGATAATGATGGAACAGCGGACATTAAGGTGAATTTTTGGTTGAAATCAGAATGGTTGTCCTCAAAAATAAATAATATGGCACTTGATTTGTGTTATATTTCCACATCCGATAACATTAAATGTAATAATGGTTTTAGTATCAGTAACATTATTGATCAGCATGAATATGATGGCAGTGATAATAAAGTTCTCCAATGGCAAAAGCTGTGTTAATAATTACAGCACTGATACTGATAATCATAACTTGATAATGACAGCTGCAGTGGTATTGAAAATAGTGATAATAGTGTTAAGTAATAATAATGACAAAGAGTAGATGTCCGTAACGATGCTGAGTGATCATGATAGTCATTGGTAATAAATGATTGTAATAAGAATAATAATAGTAATGATAGTGACAGTATTGATATGTTATAAGACGAAAAAAGTAAAGGACATAAAAAATGAACTAGTTAAAGTCATCAAAGTTGTCAGCATTTTCAGCGGCGAAAAGTTAAAAATGAGCCAAAGTCTGAATATGATGGTGTATGGAATCAGCGTATAACTACGGATTTTCTCACTGAGGGAATGCTTGGTTTGGGTGTTATTATGAAAGTGAGTTTTTGAGTTTTTGAATAAGCTTTTTTTTAAGTTTTTCAGATGAATTGCTACCTTTTTTGTTTCAGAGTGACTCGATGTGAAACAAGGTCATATGGCTTCAACAATTAGATTAGAAAATTCTTTGTTAAATTCTTTTATGAATGATTGTATTCAGATTAAAGAGACAGAAATACTGCTGGAATGCTCGGATGGTATAATTGTTAAAGTACCTGTTCAAAATTTTGGTAACTTAATGCTAGAAACATTAAAAAATTCATCTCTTACACTGGAAGATATCTTCAAAGTTGGTCAAATGCTAGCATTCAAAGTTATCAAAGCCAGAGAAATTCATGGTACTTTTATAATATTCAATTTTTTTTTAAAATTAAGTTTCCACAGAATTTGATCATAAGATTTTATCGTAGCGTAATGCTAAATGCTTTGCTGACAATGTCTAGAGTTGAACGATGCGACTCTATGACTTATCAAGTGGGTAGACTAAAGTTTGACAGAGCACTTGCAACTTGTCCTGGATAACTCTACCCATATTGTACTGCAGATTTGATAGCGAATCAATTCTAAGATATGAAGACCATTGATGATTTAACGTTGTTAAAAACTAGATATGATAGTAATTAAATCCAACAAGGTTTTATCGTTGACTAGTCGATTAAACGATAAAAAATAAAATAGATATAACGATCAGTTAAAATAAGCAGAAAAATGCAAATATAAGTAATTTTTTTATTGTTTTGGATTTGGTTTTGTATTTATGGATTTTATTTTCCAGAGATTCGAAAACTAGGAAAAAAAGCTTCATATCCTATTGTCAGTTGTGATCCACTGATTGTCAATTTTCATCTTAATCCTGGTGCTTTAATCAATGGTCTCGTGCTTAATGGTTTTGTGGAAAGTGTGGAAGATAAAGGTATAATTTCAAAAAACTCTCTACTTTGCAACTGAGATTCAATTTTCGAATTTATTTTTTCTTCTTTCTATTTCCAACAGCCCTAATGAAAAAAGTATTGCAGGTGTTATTATTAATCTTGGTTTGCAGTCAATTGAATTAAAAGGATTTCTAGCAGAAAAGCATTTACCACCTACTTTTGAAAGGGAAAGTTTAGTAGAAGGACAACCACTATTGTTGCGAATACAGGATGAAAATTTACTTAATAAAGTAAGACCAATTTTTCAATTTTTGATAGTGTTGCATTAGGACTATAATTCATTCCTTTTTCTATTCCAAAGTTTAAATTTTATCTGAACATTTGAACTCCTTTATTTAAAAGATTTACAAAAATTCATTTAAATTAATGTATTTTTTATTGTAGAAAGCACGAGTCATTAGCCTGTCTATGGTCCCCGAAACGGAATGCTTGAATGATGCTGCTATCAAAAGGCTTAAACTTAACGATTTAATGCCAGGAACTTTACTTTTAGTAAATCCATTGCAACCAACTGCAAGTGGTGTATATGTCAACATTGGAAATGGTAAACCATTGAACATTGAAAAGCCATTGAAAAGCTCATAGCTTTAGATAATTTTTTGAAATTATGGTATCACAACTTTTGCGAATAATACTCCAGCGTATGTTCAATTGTAGGAAAATCTAGAAAAATGTATTTGGAAAATTAGAAAAATGTAAAATGTATTTTTCTTTTTTTGATTTTCATAAATGTTTCAGATATAAAAGGATATGTGAGCAGGCAACATTTACCACCAAGATATCGTAACGACCCATTTAAGTGTTTGAAGTCTTTTAAAACAATTGTAATGTTTTGTCAGCAAAATAGTAATTTGTTAATATTGAATGGACATCCAGATATTATTGCCGTTAGTAAGTTCGTAAAACGAACTAATTTTGAGGTGTGTTACTTTTCTTTGTCATTCAGAACTATTAATAACTAGTTTACATCGATAGTTAACAGTTGGCGTGTTGGGCTTTTTTCGACATTATACACAACCATATCTAGCAAGCAATTTTGCTTTAACTTTTTGATTTTTCACTACTATGATCGATCACCGTTACTTTTTTATTTTTTGCTGCTAGTTCTCATTCGATGTAGATTAAATTTAAAGGAGTATTAGGTAGAATAATTATCTTTAATTTTTAATGGCTTCAGTAGTTTGTCGCTTATTTTGTTTTAATGTTGAAAGAGTAGAATTTTTACCAACCTTACTTTGTTTATTTGGTGAGTCTTTCGTTGCTAATTCTTTCCTTTTTTCCTGTTTTTGATTTTCAGAATATTCACATTGGCGATATTATTGAGTGCAAGGTAAGCAGTGTGGATAAGAATGGAAATGTCAATTTTGATATATCATTACATGAAGATGAAAAGAATCCATTGGTTGCAGCATTTGCTAGGAAAACTGAGCTAGAAGGTTTATATGCATATTTATATTTCCATTCCACAGATTCCTCTTAGTTTTTCAAATATGATTAAGTGTAATAATTAAAAATGGGGTGTTAAATTTATTAGACGTAATTTCTACTGAATATTGCAAGATTTCTGTAGGAATTAGTTTGGTTTTTAATTTTGAACTAATGAACTTTTTGGAGCATTAGTTCAGGTCAAGTTGAAGAATTACTTTATTAATCAGATATTCGCTACTCTTTTTCTTTGTATTCGCATGAATGTAGTTTTGGTGTTTGTACAAATGTAGTCAGCATTTTAGCAGGATTTGCAACATCAGTCGGTCCTTTAATTTATCCACTAATGCGGAATTGGTAGTGATTGAACTTTCTAAGCAGTATTTTAGATCGTCTTGAATACAAGAAGGGAACAATACATCAAGCACGTGTGCTATCATTCAAAATGGTTGAAAGACTATTAATAGTTGCGACACGTAAAGATATCTTAGCACAAAAAATGGTCTGCGTGAAAGTAAGACTGGTATTTCAATTGTTTAGTATTTTGTTGATTTATAATTTCCTTATTAAAATCTGTTTTTTAAAACGAATGGATCATCATTGTTTTTCTAAAATTAAACAGAATTAATAATTGATCATTTCGTTGCTTACCTATCTGTCTGTTTTTTTTATCATATATAATTTTCAAATGTTGAGTCAATGCCTTCCGTACTTTACTTTATGATGAATGTGTTGGGTGAATTTATTGGATTAATTTGTTTCTTCTCTTCAATGCAGGATGCTGTTCCTGGTGAGAAAGTCACCGCAAAAGTGAAATCTGTGCTAGCTAAAGGATTGTTCGTCAAAATATATAATTCGATCCCAGGATTTATACCTAAAATCCATCTTTCTGACAAGTTGATCACACGAATTGACAAACATTTCGTCGTCGGTAAGTTTTTTTCTGTTAACTTTTTTATTAGAACCGGTCATTTTATCTTTTGATTGCCATCGGAATTGCCACTTACCTGCATTCCAATCTATCAGTTACGTTGTTGAATAAAGTTTTCTTCCCCATCACGACCGTAGATCACTCTTCAGAAAGGGCAAGCTAAGTGTGAAGTTATGAAACCTTGTTTCACAATATTGATGGTTCTGACTTCGTCGAAAGTTAAACATGTGTTTAGTTTATAGAAATAATATCATTTGCTAAAACTGTTGTTCTTCCATGTATTCTCCATAATACTTCGCATTCATTTCTTATACATTTAGGTGACGAGCTGAACTGTCGTATTTTGAATGTGAATAGACTGAAAGAACAACTTATTCTGACAAATAAACAATCCCTTACAACAAACAAAGACACAATCATCAAGAGTTATGAGGAAGTTACGACTAATACGATATCCACTGGTTATATTATCTCTCAGCACCCAAGTGGTGGGCTTATCATAGGTTTTTACGGTGGAACTCGTGGATTCATGTTTCCAAAAGAAGCGGAACGATTAGGAACCAACATAAAGTACGTTTAGTATTGTTTTTCAGACGTGTTATTTACTGGTACCTACATATCAAACTACGAGAATACAGAAATTTTTTCATCTTAATTTCAATCTGTAATGAAAAATTCTATAGAATTAATTCCAGTTTTTCATTTTTTAAAATAAATATTGTTTTTGCTCTCTTCAAGAATTGGTCTAACAGTCCGTATTCAAGTGATCAGTGTTGATCCGCAACGCGAGCGTATGTTGGTTGCGGTAGCAAATACGATTAATGGTGCAACTGCGATAGCGAGGGCTCAGGTTTGATTTTAATTTCGTTTCCAGAAAATCCATCATTTATATTAATATTTTTGATGGAATTTCATGAGCTAATTATTGGTGACCGATATAGGATGAATGATCTTTATTAAGCTAACATGTTGAGTAAAGTTAATCATTAATTTCAGTCTGTTTTTCATTTAACATCCCTAGTCAAAAGATTCAATTTCCCCTTTGCAGCTTGAGCTTTACACTCAGATACTGATTTAAAAGTAATTTTACAGTTCTAACAAGAAAGAAATGGATAAACATAAATTTTTAGTCGTAAATTTTCTGAGAAAGAATTTGTAATATTTTTTGTGCATGTTTAAACTTTAGCCATTTGTAATCGATGCAGAGAATCCGATTTCTTTTTCGGCAATTGTTATAAACATTTCGTCGGATGGTAATATGTTAAAACAGAACGAGACTTTGAACGTTGCTATCCGGCTAGGAAAGAAACTGGTTTATTTAACTCATTTTAATTATTCATTAACTGTGGTTTCTTTCACCATCCATTGCTGAACTTATTGATATATTACTTAGTCTACTTGTATTGTTATTATTGAAAATCATTTATTTCAGTATCTTTTTCATTTGTCGCTATAAGAGACGGGTAGGAAATATCATCCTACTGATTTGAATGTTTTTTTGTGGAAATCAATCTCACTTCAGGATAAAAAAGTGGAGGCATTCATTCCGAGAGAACTACTGAGTGACTACCTTGATTTACCTTTTTCTTCACTAAGCGAAAGCATTGCACTTGAAAGCATACTACCAAAAGTTGCAATACTGGGCGATGTTGCTGGAAATCTCAAGGTTGGTCAATTTTCAGTCCAGTTCTGAACAGGATTATTCACTTTATAGGTAGACTTGATTCAGAGATTCATTAAATGCAAGTGAATTATTGCGCAGTTTGACAAGTTATAATCATCAGATTATCGATGGAGTAACTTCAATTTCCACTGCATACAGAATCATAAAATTAATGGGATTCAATGAAATAATATTTCAGGCGACGAGTAAACGTTTCATAATCGATTGGTTAGAAAAACATCCACGCATCACTAGTATTCAAAATCTTGCCAAAGGAGAACTTGTTTGTGGTAACATCATCCAAAAGCATCAGGAAATGGGATATTTTGTTGAATTGGCAGGTGGCTCAGCTCTCACAGCCCCAGCACGCTTTATACGTCCGATGGCATTGTCAGTGCGTAAGTTGATTTGATCAAAAATCTTCAGAATTTAAGATTATATGTAATTTATATGTCTGACACATTGTGGAAATTGTTACAGTTTTCTTGAAATAATTAATAATTCTTCAGAAGAACTTCAAATAGGACAAACCGTTGTGGCACGAGTATCATCAGTTGATTTGGAGAGGAAACGATTTGCTTTAATCTTGGATGTAAGCTTACTGCTACGTTATGACTTTTGCTATTATAATCTGATATTCATATTTATGAAACACCCTTGTCATGGGCTTAACTTTGCTCTGAATTTATTTTAATATGTAGAAGAATTTATAATTTAAATGTTTTTTAGATACATCTATGTGTACCACCCGGTGCAGAATCTGATTATTTTGCACCATCTATGGTATATTATGTTTTGGAGGAACTGAATTGGTTTATAGCAAACAATCCAAATATTTCGCAAATACCAAAAATCGGAGAATGTATCGACATAAAGATCATAGAGGTCTCAGAATGCAGTGTTATTGTACAGTGTGCTGATAACTCAAATTTCAAGGGACACGCAATAAATAGCACTAATATTCTGGAGGTTTTCTTTGGAATTTATAATAGTATAAATTGTAAGTGGCATTTAGTTAATAATATCTTCAGAAAAGAGAGTGAGTACGTAATGCGATACAAAGAAATTTTTGTCTTTATTAGATACACTTTTTCTAGGAGATAATTTTATGCTATTTATGCATTTTTCATTTAATAAGTTTTATGAAACAGAATTTGAATCTAAATCTAAAATACTTTTTGAAATCTTTTACTAAAAAAAGAAAAAATTTAGGGAAGAAGTTGTGCGAAAGCATTAGTTCTGGATGTCAAATTGCCATCCTGTGAATTGGTTCTATTTTTTCTGAATGACGGTGTTCAGCATTTGAATGAGGTATCGAACAAAAGTTGTGGTTGTGAACTTTATAGAAGCAGTTCTATATACCTTTCTGCTTCTAAATTAAGTTAATGCAAAAAATATTCGTTATTTCAGTCTTTTAGCACAGTTTGATCAACTGGCTAGTTAAGTTGTGTTGTAAATTGTTGTAAAATCAGGGAAAGAGGAGAAGTAAGACTTATGTAATTTCAGTTCATCTGTAAATTGAATGATATTTTTGGTCCAGAACTTGTTGCGATTTAAATTACTTTCTCTACAATAGTTAGTGAATTTACGGCAAAATTTTACAGAAGAAACTACAGTCACTAGTGTGCAGTAAAAAGAAATTTGACGCGAAAGTATGGTTACACAAAAGAGAATATGCGGTTGCGATAGCAGAAGTTGAAAAATTGGCTTTTGTGGTTTGCATTCCGGTGAGAATACATCCGAATGTGAATATTATTTCTGCAAAGTCAGGTAAGCTGTATAAGAGCTCCACTAAATTTAATTTCTTCAGATTTTTTTTCGATATTTTCAACAACAAGTCTGCGACATGAAAAAGAATGTGATCATGCATACTGACCATATTTAACTTATATGCTGTAGTGTATTTAGGATTCAATTATGAATCCAGCATATATCATCAACATAGGAAAATTAGTCATTTCATTCGACTTTCGACCTTTTTTTGTCATTTGAGAAAATCAGTTAATTCGTAACAATCGAAATTGAAATAGAGGACAAGACAGAAAAAATGCAGTCATTATTAGTGCTTATCGTGATCATGAATGAATCAAAAATGAGAAATTGAATGATCTTAATAGTAATATAGATGATTAAGAATATTGTAGATGGAAATGACAATCACTATACGATTACACCCAAGCTCGTTGCTGGCAACATTGTTATTGGAACTGCAATGGAAACGTTGAAGAAATACGAATTGACTCATAGGAAATTTAAAGTACCATTGTTTTATTAATATTTCGTTCTAAAACACAAGAAATGTAACTTCGCGTACATTACTAAACTGTACTAGCTTACATTCATTTCTTAAATGATTATCTACTGATTAAAGTTATCACATGGAGTTTTCTAAATTTCCTGAGTTCTTACTAAATTGCCGTTTTTTGGGGGTATTTCTTGTTTACTGCGTTTGAATCTTGTTTTATAGACACCTGTGAAGGCAGCAGTAAAGAAAAAATTGAAGCAGTTTTCGATTTATACAGCAAAAGTTAAGGGAATGTGGTCCAGAGATGACTTATATAATGCTGTCGAATTAGAGTTACCCGATGGCAGTATCGGTAAGAATTCTCTTCATTTCTCAGAAGTTACAGAAAAAGCTTATTTTCCAACACAGGGATAATAATTCATTGCTACCTATTATTCAGCTTCTGTTTCCTCTTTTTCTATATTATTTATCTGTGCCCAAAACAAATTTGATTTTTGTAATAAATATGGTCTTAATCTAAATTTATATCTAAAATTTATATTTAGGACGTTTACACGCATCGGAATTTGATGAAAGCTTCTTAAATCAAACTTCTCATCCAGTTCAAAGTTTTTTGAAAAAAAGGAAAAATAAAACAGTGAACGTTAAAATTATATGTTTCACGAAGTTGAAGCAAAAAATGGAGAAGATGGATCTTTCTAAACCAAAAGGAAAGGGTGTTCAAAAAGGCGAAAAAATGGTTGTTGTAAGTTCTTCTTTCTTGATTCTATCTTTATTAATTATATTTCATTTGGTAATAATACTAATAGTAAGATAATCAAATGATTTTATACGATGGACTCCAGGTTCTAGAAATCGTTCGAAAAAAAATTTTGACAGTTCGTAACAACAGTTTAATTTGTTACTTTTGAATGAATGAATTGATCAAGTTGGCTTGCAAAATATTCTTCAAAATCAAGTAATAAATGAAAAATATTCAAGTGTCCAAAAATTTATAGAACTATCAATATTTTGATTATTGCTAGTGTGTATAATTTTTTATGTCAACGAGAAATATACATATATATAATTTAAGGTGACACGTTTGTCTGAATGTACGATGAAAACTTGGAAATTGAATGAGACGAAGAGAAAGCAGTCACTTCTGGGGTATCCACAAAGTTATACGCATGGATCGTTAATACCTGTTTTTGTTTGTAAGGGACCTCATGTTGGAGTGGTCAGAGTGGAAGTTAGCCCACTTTGGAATGGTATTATTCGGAAGCAGAATTTGTATGATGAAAATTTGGTATGTTTATATTACCGGCACTATCAAAATTGATATGTAAACCGACATCAAAAACAGCATTGAAAATTACAATCTAGAAGTTTCTTTTCATTTTAACGTACCAATCTAAAGTATATTTCAGATAACTAATCCAACAAACGATGCATCAGCATTAGTTGATATCGATTTTGAAACCGGTGAAAAATTAATTGCACAAGTTATTGGAGTGAATGTTTACAAGAATGGACGTGGAAAGTCGAGGCATCGAAAATGTTTGGAAATGACCTTAAAAGAAACACGAAAGGTAGTTAGTCTGCCAAATTTTTTAAAATGAACTATTGTAGGCAAATTATGGTGTCCGACTTTCAATTTTCAGCATTTTTTTTTTTGGAAAATTCTTACAAAATCAAAATTTACAGATATTCGAGCGTGGTGACCGTGTGACAGGGCGAGTTGTCGGCATTACGCAGTCACCAAGTAGTGTTATATTGGAACTTACTAATAATCAACGAGCTGTTCTTACTTTGACT